GACTGACTCCGTCCTCTTGCATCGAAATTTCATCTGATAATGGCATCTCCTGCCGCCTAGGCCTACCACGCCTACCACCACCATGTCTACGTCCTGACATCCTAATAAAGGTTTTATAGCTTAGCACATTTACAAATGTACTGAAGCTAATTCACTCACGTCCTAATATGATGGACAACAATTAATTCACTCCACATAAGCATTTAATCACATAAAGACAAACAGACTTCCTTTCTGGATAGTGACCGTCCTACGACATTGCTAGAGTTTCAGTTAGAAATAGCAGTGATCAAGTACTTTTCTAACAGGACTTCTAGAAACTCATAGACTCAATCAATATCTAAGAAAATAAATCTCATACTCATTTAGTCACATAAGCATGTTATCACATAGCATACAAGGTCTATTTCTAATATCATCAAACAAGACAACCCATTGTGGTAAAAACTACATCCCACGATCCCAAAGTATTCAAACCTGGTAGCTCTAATACCAAGTTGTAATACCCCAAAATAAATAACAATAACCCGTCTCATAACATTACTTACAAATGATCAACAACATCACATCTTCTATTCTATTTATAACTTTGGTCAATATAAAAGATGACATATGTGATATACATTCATAAATCCTAAATTATGAATCTATAGCATATGACATGGATTTTGACCAAAAGATGACATATGTGATATACATTCATAAATCCTAGATTTTGAATTTATAGCATATGACATGGATACATTATTTAAATAAAAGTAAAACCAAATAATGATATGCCCTAGTGGCTACATCTTTCCAAGTCGATACTTGGGTACAACAAAATGAGTTGAACTTAATACAAGTAATGCCCAAGGCTTATACAAAATTAATTACAACAAGTAAACAAAATGAAGCCCTTGGTTCCAAGTCCTCCCAAGCTACGTCCTTGGTGAAGGCATATCATCAGCACCTGAAAGTTGTTTTTCATATAGGGTGAACCAAAGTCCAGTAAAGATACTTTAATACAATATATGAATCTTAATAAAGTTTTAAGGTGAATACGTATACATGCCATTTGTCAAATATTCCTCATTTCCATCTCAAAACAATGGAATGCCAGATTACAAATCAATTCATGAAAATAACACTTTTATACAAAAAACGGAGTAGTGGATACCAAATGCTGGGAATCTCTAGGTACGTGTCTGCTAGTAGGTTATACAAGCGCTATCAATGCCATTTTACTGATACTAACCGGAAGGATCGACACCTAACCGCGCGAGTTTCAGGGCTTTCACCAAGGACACATGCGCCAACAATGTAAACCACAACCACACCCCTTAACTAGATTCACTAAGGTATATATTCATTTTTTTCAAAAACAAATACATTTTCAATGTTCAAGTATGAAACGATGCTCGATGCACAGTATATGAGAAATTAGTTTCTATTTAACCTAATCGCCATGCAATTTTTATAACAATCAAGACTATCCTCCATCGATAGCCCAAAATAGATATTTCTACTCAACAGATAATTTGTCCAACAATAAATAAAATTTCATAAATTCAAAATAGGAGCGATAATAAATATCCGACTCCAATCTCATCATCAACAGATACATTCTCATATCTTTTCAAAACCTAATATCCTTTCCTTTATTTTCATAAATAAAATATCAATGATTTTCAAATAAAATGTCTTTTGTTCTTTAACATCTCATTTAAAGAGTAACTTTCCAAAATTTCAACACAACCCAACAATAAATACCTTTCTACAACATTCTCAAGCATTTATTTGAAAAACTTATCTTTTACTTTCCAAAACCGAACCCTAGGTTCAACTAAAAACCCCCCAAATCACTAACCCATTTCAAAGAGCAAATAACTAAGTTAAGACCCATATTAAAGGTTAAAGAAATCCCTACTTCAAAGTAGAAGATAAGAGAGAGAAAAAGGTAGAACTTTGCGGAGCCAAAAACGACAACTCGTTTGATTATAACGAAGCCTTCGACATGCTCAACCTTTTTCTCCGAAGGGCTAGGGTGAAGAAACTAACAGATTGGGAGAATTTGGAGCTAGAGTAAAAGAATTAGAGAGAGTGAAGATCTTAGGGTTTTGAAATGTTTAGAGAGAGAGAGAGAGAGAGAGAGAGAGAGAGAGAGAGAAATGAAAAAGTGACTCAAAATAGGTTTTTCTCGGACTGATATATGCAGAGACCACTCGAGCGGTCAAAACACCGCTTGAGCGTCAGACACAATAAGGGACACCGCTCGAGCGACCAAAACAATCGCTCGAGTGCACAATGACCCCCTTTTAGAAGTTCAAACCTGCAAAAGACCGCTCGAGCGCAAGAAGGACTGTTTGAGCGAAAATATCACACTTCCAATAGTTTTGCAGACTGTAAAAGACTGCTCAGGCGCAAGAAAGACCACTCGAGCGGACAGGCAAAAATCTGGGTAACAACTCTTTGAAAAACTAACTTCGAAACCAGTTTCAAATGGAATCAGAACTCCCAAATAACCAAACTCAACTAGTAACAAGATGAAAATGAAATGAACAAAAGCTACGGACATTGATTCTCTGATTCAAAGCAAGAAATGGGTCGTATCTAAACTAAAATCGTTATAGTGGTTCATATTATATTATCCAAATAAGGTGCCTTTTTATTTTATTTCTTCTATATCTAAAAAGTAGTGTTGGTATTATAAAAAATATTAATCTATTGATTTCTCCCTCTCCTTCTCTCTCTCTCTCTCTCTCTCTCTCTCTCTCTCTCTCTCTCTCTCTCTTCACATTTAGAGATTTAAAATAAAAATTTTAAGAAAAATTGGTTTCTTTTAATTTCTTTCCATTTTTCATCCTATTTTCCCCAACAAGTGGTATGAACTATAAGAAATGCATTTTTTACGTTTTATTTTCTCTTCAAATCACTCAATCCAAACAGATTATAGAGAAATTAGTGTGATTCTATGTAGTTTTGAATAGCATTAGATGATTCTATCTCATAATAAGATGGCGTTGTTGTTATCAAAAAAAAAAAAGAAAGAAAAGAAAAAAAAGATCGCTTTGTATATAACCTTTTGCTGAATAAAATAACCACCATCTGTCTTTAACTTCAATTTCAAAACCAAAATGCCACATAAGTCAACAAGATTACCCAAATTCAAATGAAATTAGGAAAAAGTGAAGCATAAATATCATTGTTCTCATGAGATTTGTTACTCCAGGGTGAGCAACCCAAAATGGGGGTGAATTTGGTCGATAAATAAAAACTTAAATAATTAATCCAATAAAAATAATATGCACAACACAAATAATATATTAAAAGATATACAAAATAATCACTAATGTGTGTGTAACAAATCAAGTAAGAGCTATAATAAAGCAATACGAGAGAGAGAGAGAGAGAGAGAAAGAGAGAGAGAGAGAGAGAGAGAGAGAGAGAGAGTAGTTTGGCTTCAACCCAAGCCTACGTCTACTCTTCAAGGCTCCATTTCAAGTATTTTCACTATTCTTCAAATAACTTTGCACCAAGTGTATCGGGTACTTGCAATACCTTTACAACAAGGATTTTGTTCCAAAAATTCCAAAAGACAAGCCCACCAAAACAGCCCATGTTTTGGTGTTACAAAAATCCTTAAGGCCCTGTTTGTTTTGGGATTAAATAGATGGGAGGGAATTAGGATGGAGGTGGGGTTATTTAGTGTTGTGTTTGTTTGTAGAGTTGGGGAGGGGATTAGGATGGAGGAGGGGATATGGATGGAGGTTGGAAGGAGGATTGAGATAGAGGAGATAGAGATGGTATTAGAAAAATAATGAGGGGATTAGAAATTTTTTTATTTTTTATATATTGGGAATTTTTTTTATAAATATTAATGTTTAATTTTTTATATTTTTTATTTATTTTATTATTTTATATAAAAATAATTTAACAATTCCTACACTAACAACTATAATAAAAACAAATATAATTTTACTTAATCCTCTCACTATGAATCCCCTCACTATGAATCCCCTCCATCCTACCTCTGAAAACAAACGGGGCCTACGTGTTTCTCTCTCAAACACTCACAATCAGGCCTATGGGTATAACAATCCTATACATATGATTTGTGGAGAAAAATGCTTAAAGCATTTAGTACATTAAACTCCTAATAAGTTGGACTTAAAACAATAAAGTTCACAAACGAAATATGAAAGTTTAAGCACAAATTTCTTATATTATTTCTTCTCTTTTGATCACCTCTTGTCTCCCTCCCCTCTTTGTAAATGAGTGTTGATCTTGTATTTATAGTCCCTTATCTTCATATAACTGTTGGAGGGCAAAACAGCCGCTGGAGTGGAAAAATAATTGTTGGAAATGTTTAAATCACGTGCAGAATTTTGAATTTCTAAACCAAGGTGTTGACCCTAACTGAAATTCTATTTTTCTCCTTTGAATCTGCTTTTTAGTGTCGACCCTAGCTCCTCCTGGTGTCGACCCTAGCAGAGAGTGTCGACCCTTGTTCTTCGCAGTGTCGATCCTTTATTAAGAAAAATATTTCCAAAACATTTCTAAACCTTTCAAGCTTCAATCAAAACACAAGATGAACTCTAAATATCAATAGATAAAGATCATTAGAGCATAAAACAAATATCAAATGAATTATTCTTGGAGTTTTGAATATAAATCATTAGAGAGTAAAATACACACAACTCATAAACTCTTATCTAATGAAATACTCATGATATACAAATGATAAACATTTATTAAAACCCTATACAGCATAAAGTCATTATATAGTTAAAATCAAAGGATATTAGCAATTTAAAGTGCATGTTTATCATATACATCATACTAATTTTGTGTCAAATAACGTTAGGCAAATATAACAATAAAACACAATTAATAGACATCATAAAAACCAAGACTTAGGACTAACAAGATTATAGCTAGTTTTAAATTTGAATAGGTTGAGCACATTGAAATGCACTGCAACAAAGCAATAAAAAAAGATCAATACAAGATCTTGCTCAGATATTACAAACAAAATTGATTACATAATTCATATCTCGTATCTCAAGTCTTATTCTAGGGTTTCTCAAATCAAATCACATGCAACTTCTACATTTTAGAAAGCCTAAATGTAAGGAATACAACACAAATATTACAAGAAAGCTTCATGACCAGTAAAGTTAGATTAACTCTATATGCAAAGTCACATAACCGCAACAAATTATAGCTACCTAACTTCGACTCATCTTGTTCACTGCAACTCCAAAGCCAGTTCGGCGTCGTATTGGTAAGTGCGGATAGCTTTGAAGATGGATTATCTGAAACCTTAGCAAGCGAACGATACTACAATTTCAGGCTCTCTGCATTGTCCAATGTCTCAACAACATACTTGAATAGTTTTCAAGTTGTAGTATCAAGGATTCATTTGGTCTCTAGAGGTAAACTATGAGAAAAATAAGGGAAGCAACATTTTAAAGAATGTGGATAAAATTGCAAACATTTCTCCTCTCTCTCTTTTAGCTATTTCTTATGCATTTAAAGCAACACATTCAACGATTCAATGGTCCGTTTGTTTTAGAGAGACATTTTTTTTTTTCTTTTTGTATTTTTCTGGTGTTTGAATGATGGACATGAAAGTTTAACCAAAAAAGAAATTATTTTTTTTTACAAGTCAACGAAAATAAACTTATTTGAGCCACAAATATTTTCCATAAAAGGTGAAAATATACTGTAAGAGGGATAGGTTGTTTTGGACGAAACAAGTTGCGACGGAAAGTCAATGGGATAGAGATTGGTAAAAATTTCATGGGGTGCAAGTGTAATCTGTGTGGGATGCAAGTGCACATGTAGGAATGAATGGGTAAAATGCAAGTCCAACATTGACATGGCAGTTCAAATATGAAAAAAATTGAAAAACATGATTGTTTTAAATGAAATGCTTGGATGGAAAGTCAATGGAATGGAGATTTGAAAAAATTTAGGGGGTGCAAGTGTTGTCTGCGTGGGATGCAAGTGTTAGAACGCCCAATAATTTGGCAATGTCTATGCATAGACCATGACAATTAAGAGGATGGAATAAACACATGGCAATTGTAATGAATTGAAAACATAAATTCCATATTAAATTGGATAGAAATTGAATAAATTTGACTCATTTTGGTTATGAACACACCATCACAACAAAGATGCACATATGAACTCACCATTTTACAAAATGGACATCCAATAAGGATATATGTACAAGGAATGAAAACACAAGTCCAACATTGACATTATAGTAGCGGACATGAAAAACCTGAAAAACATGGTTGTTTTGCATGAAATGATTTGATAGATAGTGAATGGAATAGAGATCAGAAAAAATCTAGCGAGTGCAAGTGTATGTTGTGCGGGGTGCAAGGGTAGTGTGTGCCGGGTGCAAGTGTTAGAATGCCAAATAATTGGCAATGTCCACTACAACAAAAAGCACATTTGGCGACCAAAAAATTGGTCGCCAAAAGTACAAATTTCATTGCCAAAAGAATCAGCAACAAGTACCCAATTGGTTGCCAAAGGCCTCTCACTAAAAGTATTGGCGACCAAATAATAAATTGTCACTGTATGTAGACATTTAGCGACAAGCAAAATTGGTCGCCAAAAATCATATATTTTGTCGCTCTAAAATTCTAATTTGTCGCTAAAAGATTAAGATTTGGATAGGCTATGTAGTTTTAGCGACAAATAAATTTGTCGCCAAAAGTACTATTTAGTGACAATTAATTTGGTCGCTAAAAATCAACTTTTTAGCAACAACTAAGTTTCGGTTGCTAAATGTTCTTGGAATATCCACTAACTTTTAGCAACAAAACAATATGTTGTTGCCAAATATATTAATAGCGACCAAAATATCACCTGTCACTAAAAATTCACTATACAAATTTGAATTTTAATAATTTTTCTGTTCAAAATAATTCAAAACACCTGTTTTTCTATACACAATATATACACAAATGCAATGTAAATAGAAATACACCTGTGCAAGACATTCATAATAATTCAAAATTAATAACTATTAAACATCCCAATAAGCATAATTATAATTCTCTATCAATCTGAAACATTCATACCAAAGTACTTACAAATTATTAACATCAAACCCACAAATCCATTACCAAATTCTATATCAAAATATTTTCAAAAATACAAAACCAAATATTTTGATACTAGACATCTAACCCACAAGTCATTTACCAAAATCCTATGTCAAGATATTTGCAAAAACACAAAATCAAATATTTTGATGCTAAACATCTAACCCATGAGTTATTTACCAAAATCCTACGTCAAAATATTTCCAAAAATACAAAATCAAATCTTCTGATGTAGCCCGAACTAGTTTCCACCATTGCCAATCTGTCACATGACAAGAAAAAAAAAGAAAGAAAGAAACTAGGTATGAATTTCACAATTTTAATTTTAATTTTGTAACAGGAAGTTCAATCGGGGTGTAATTTGCTCATACAAGTTTATTTAGTCTTGAGCAAGCTGCCCGTGTTAAGTTTCAGTGGCTTTGGTGGTCATTTCACAATTTCGCCTCCCAAACGGGCCTTTTAAGTCTTGCGTTTTATAATTTTCCTTCTAATTTTCTAACTAGAAATTCAATCGAGGTCCCATTTGTTCCTACAAGTCTATTTAGGCTTGAGTAAGCTGTCCTGTGCTAAGTTTCGGTGATTTTGCTGGTCATTTCGCAATTTCGGCCCCCGAACGGGCCTTTTAAGTCTTGTGTTTTACAATTTTCCTTCTAATTTTTTAACCGAAAATCCAATCGAGGTCCTGTTTTTTCCTACAAGTCTATTTAGGCTTGAGTAAGCTGCCTATGCCAAGTTCCGGTAGTTTCGGTGGCCATTTAGCAATTTCACCCCCCGAACAGTCATTTCTTGTGTTTTACAATTTTCTTCTAATTTTCTAATCGGAAATCCAATCGAGATCGTGTTTGTTCCTACAAGTCTATTTAGGCTTGAGCAAACTACCCGTGCCAAGTTTTGGCAGTGTCGGTGGACATTTCGCATCTTTTTCCTACGAGCAACAAAAGGGGCATTACTATCCCTGCTCTTTCAATAAAACCAATTAAAACAAGTCAAAAACCCAATTAGGATGTAGAGTCTGCAGACCAACAATTGGTTGACAAAAAAAAAAAAAAAACTAAAGGAATTTGGATTTCATACCAATCCTTGATCTATGCAAATTTGAAACTGCATAATTCTTTTCTCAACCTCCACAATAAGAAACCTTCTTTGGAGTCGAGCAATCCTTCCCCGACCTTCTGCTCTAGTATCCTGATTTATAACAAAGAGAAATCAGATAGTGTGGCTGAAAGAATAAATAAACGATAACCAATTTGGCAGTCATCACAAAATTTTACATAATTTACCCTCTAGTACACATTTGCCCCATAATCTGAAAACCAAATATGCAAAACAACATTATTTGTGGGAAAAGAAAAAAAAAATGGATGCCCTCAGGCTTGAGCTTGCACTCAGACTAGAAAGCTTAGCTTATGCCATCACACCAAGCAATGGTCCTCACACCATAAATAAATGAATAGTTAGGTTTAATTTTCTCCAAACTTGTTATTTCATCTAGATATTCAATGTATAGGTCTTTAATGTCAACATTTATTTGAAAATGTTTCTCACTCCCATACAAGTCGTTATCTATTTAGAAAATAATACATGTTCTATATGCAAATTAAGTGCTTGATCTACCTCTATATCCTCCAATATGCTTAAACAGTTTGGCCTAGATTAACATATATTTTGAAGATGTGGCACGGACACACATACAAAACAAGGATTTAATATGATACAAACTGATGACAGCAAAATTAGATATACAAGTGCAATCAAAGAATGTAAACTCACAAGTGACGATTGTACTATATGTAATAAAGTCAGAGATTTATCAAAAAATAAAAATAAATAAATAAATAAATAAAGTGAGAGTCTTTCTTTGGGTGTTGAAAACTACTACATTTATAGAAAACGATGAACCTCAAAATATGTTGGCAGAATGAAAATTAAGGACCATTTCAATACCAAGAATACCCAATGTTTTTGGGGAGCATAAACTGCACATCTAAGTAGAGTAATTGTACATATCAATCCCAATTCTCAAATGTGTCAAAACTAAAACCTCATACACTCCATTAATATGGAAACAGCACAGCCTGAGGATATTAACGCTGCTTATCTGGTCACCCTTATTTATTAGGACTATGGTACAAGTAGATAAGAAGCATAACCCAGCAGTATGCAAAAAGTTCAGAAACCTTGATAAGATGTCTTACCTAAACTCAACTCAAAATTTTAAAATATTGCTTTTAGGAAGTAGTTTTTTTATTTTTTAAGAATTAAGGTGTTTGAGTAAAGTTGATCTTCTGAGTTGATTCTACTTGATTGAATTTAGAGTACTAAAGATTTTCCAAAGTAATGATAAAAATATTTCAAACATGTATCTCTTTTGCTAATGGATTTGAATAGGAAAATAAAAATAAAAGATAAGTGAGAAATTGGCACGTGTATCCTTAGAGAAGCCTCATGGATTCACCTCGAGTCAAGAACATTGGATATAAAGTACATCAAATATTTAAACTAAGCTCTAGGATTTCCAATTCACCAAGGAAAACCAAAGACACAAAAGACATTTTGTTTCACATCTAATGATGTAACTTTGGTTTAAAGCAACCGTATGACCCAGATAGCTATTGGGAGTTTGGCTTGAGATAAATAGAGTTCGTAATTCCTTATATTCAATTTCAACAAGCAGAGGGTGCAACTAAACTCTTTCTTTCCAGGAGTTAAGCTAAGGAGGAGCAAACTATTATAATATGAGATCCATGCATACAATCCCACATTTGACAATTGACAATTTGACATACAAATAAAAAGTTGAAAACCTCAGAGCAGCATACACAATTGACTTAATGAAAAGCTCGATGGAGTACACCACAAAAATAACAAGAACTCCATAGAGCTTACCTGTTTTAACCACGCACGCACTAACATCAGCAAAAGACAGGGCGAGAAAGAAAGCTGGTAAAGCAGCTAGAATAGCAAAATCGATTTCATTGGCCTTAAGAATCTGGTCTAGTTCAAGCATTGCCCTGTTAGAAGATGGTAGTCAGGAACTTAAACAATGAAATGACTTGAATACCAAAGAGAATTGACTTCTAAACAAAGAAAACAACTCAGTCTACTCATGTCTCAATATCCAACTTCAGCTTCTGAATCTGTCATAGCACAAAACCCTTGTCATATAATCAGAACTAGAAACCACTGACTGCCAGAGAAGTGCAGTATATTACTTGGATAAGCAAAGCATGGACAAGCTCTCCCCCAACAAGACTCTAAATCAGAAATAGTTTTAGCTAATTTCTTTAAAAGATGAAACTAATGCCTTATTTCTCATCATGTCAACATTAAGTCGTATGATTTTTATTCTTCAAAATTATAATCGCGTTGCCAAAAGAAGTAAAACCCTTAATAAGAAAACTTTACCACAAATGAACAATTAACATGATGATAGAATTTTGAAACAGGATCAAATTTATAACTATATTGATGGGCATCAAAACACTAATCCTTAAAAAGTATAGCTCAAACAATTCTTGCATTTAATTTCATAAAGAGATAATTTTTACAATATAATGCACTCAAACTATACAACAGAATACACTCTCTAATGAATAATAGCCCAAGTTATGAGGTAAGAAATATTAGGCTCTTGATTCAACAGCTGGGTTCGAAGGCCACATTCAACCCTTTAACCAGTGACCCACTTGCCTAACAAATCTGATGCATAAAGTCATGTTCATCTACACAAATATCAGAAAGAAGCAAAATTTAGGTATATCACTATTCACCAAGATGTAATGACATTGTAGCATGATACCATTCTCAACCCGCCGAAGTCACTGTCCTCAAGTTATTACATAAGATGCAAGCTTGTGTAACAATTACAAACACAGATTAACTGTTTTTGATTATGTTTTGATTTATTTTGAAATTTGGATTAGAATTGAAAACTTAATATTTAAATAAATCATTATAATCCTTAAATTCTCCTTGTGTTTAACCATATTTTTGGAGTGCAAATGGTGTTTAAACAGGTGAAGAATCAAGCACAAAACATGCCCAAAACAGAGTCCAAAACAGCCCAGAAACAGTAGCAAAAACAGCCCAAAAAAAGCCCAGAACAGCCGCAACACAGAGCACAAAAAAAAAAAAAATAAAATAAAATAAATCAGTAAGTGTAGAACTGCAGCCACATTTTTTCTTCTTCTAAGTGTAGAACTGCAGCACAGACCAGAACAGCAGCCACATTTTTTTTTCTTCTTCTAAATTTGTAGAACTGCTGCACCAAATAATTTTCTTCTAAAAGTGATAAAATTTCATGCAATCAATAAGTGTAACCAATTAAAAGATAGAAGAAAAAAAATGTACTCTAGATGTTTAGCTCTAGGCTTCAACTTGGTCAGTGTAGAAAACAGAACATCCTCAAAACATGTTATATATGTTTATTTATTAATGCTTGAACTAATTAAAACAACATAACAACAAACAATGAAGTGTCGTGCTGTGTTCCAAAATCAGTCCCAAAATCAGAATATTAGTCCCAAAATCAGTCCCAAAATCAAAATATCAGTCCCAAAAAAATTCAAAATCAGAATATCAGCCCCAAAATCAAAATATCTATCCCACAAATAGTCCCAAAATCATAATATCAGTCCCAAAAATCAGTGTTGTGCTGTGTTCTGCCATGCCGAACAAGAGAATCAAATTGAAAACAAAGAAGAAAAAGAGGAAGATGAGGCAATGTGAGAGAATAAGAGGGAGAGGGAGAGAGAGACGAAGAAGAAGAAGAAGAAGAAGAAGAAGAAGGAGAGAAGACATACCTCTGTGTCTTCTGCTGTGCCGCTTGAGGTTGTGGAGTGAGAGAATGAGATGAATATTAGGTTAGTCCTTGCTTTGTTGACACCCAAAAAAAAAAAAAAAAAAAAAAAAAAAAAATGATTTAAAACAACGCCGTTTTGACCCCTAATTTATTGGCGACAAAAATCATTATGTTGCCATAAATATCGTTCACCTTTTAGTGACTATTTTGTCGCCAAAAATTTACAATTGGCGACTAAAAGTTTTGTCGCCATATATTAATTTGGTCGCGAAAACATTTTTAGCGCTCCCGTGCAAAATTTTAAGTTGGCGCTAAGGTTTTAAAAAACGGCCGCAACCGTTACGTAACGGTTGTGGTAGTTACCGCCACCCGTTACGGCCGTTTTTGCAGTGTGATTAAGATTCACAGGTGTATCGGCCGCAGCGGCTGCTATAGCGGTCGTAACGGTGCTGTAACGGCCGTAACGGCCTGTTACGCACCGTTATGTAATGGTTCCGAATTGCTTCTTTCGAAAAAACACAACAAAAAAAAAAAAAAGTTGAAAATGGGGGAAGAGAGATAGAGAGAGAAGAGGGAAGATAGAGGAACAAGAGATAGAGAGAGAGAAGAGGGAAGATGAAGAACATGTTATTGATTTGTTGAAGCCGTAAGACCTATACTATTCTATTCAGTTGCTATCACTCAACCATTTTGTTTGTGTGTGTTTATCTATATATTGTTTAATAATAATAATAATAAGTGTGGTCATTATCTATTTGGATTGATTAATATATATATATATATATATTTAGGCTTTTATTTATTAGTTCTCTTACTTTTGTCATCATTTATCTTATATATAATAGTTAGTGATTGATTTTTTGTACAATGTAAAGTCATTAATTATTAAAATAAAATGTAAAAAACTCAGTTTATAATGATTTAAAAATATGAAATATATTGGATCAAACTTAAAAATTTATAAAAATTGATCAATATTTATTTTAAAACCTAATAAATATGATCATGGAAAAAAAATGTGCGTATCGGTAAGTTTTTTTCAAATTGTGCGAAAAATAAAAAAATTCACAATTCCAGTTACCACAATTGTTACGCTACGGCCTTTACACCTCGCAACCGCTTTTCAGAACCTTGATTTGAAGTTAATTTAGAAGTTTGATCAATCTAAGGTTGAATTCTTGTTGTCTTGCATGAAATTGAGTTTTTATTCATATGCATTAGGAATTATAACTTGTAATTTTCAGAAATTCGTGAAGTTATGCTTTTAGTTTCATGTTTGAGTTCAAAAGGAAAAAGAGTTTGAAAACATAGCATGTATGGAGTTTTGACTCATATTTTGGCAAATTGACGAAGATTTTGAGTAAATGATTTGAAATTCATCATGTAATTATGATTGCTAATGTATTTACATGTTTTTGGACAAGCCTTGCGTCCTTTTTTTAGTTATGGACACATCGCCACAACAAAGATGCACATATGAACCCACCATTTTACAAAAAGGATATCCAATACCGAGGGATATATAACCAATGATTCTTTTGTCATCACTAACTCTATCGTCAGATAGAATCTTTGATAGGAACTGAAATGGATCACTAGCTTTCACTGATAACTTAGTTATATCTTCATCATCTGGTGAAGCAAAAAATTTCACATTAGCCATATACCAATCAAAAGATTGATTTGTCGTTGCAAATTTCTAAAACTTAAAGGCTGTGAGGAATGAAAACACAAGTCCAACATTGACATTATAGTATCGGACGTGAAAAAATTGAAAAACATGGTTGTTTTGCACGAAATGATTTGATGGATAGTGAATGGACTAGAGATTGGAAAAAATTTAGTGGGTGCAAGTGCATGCTGTCCAGGGTGCAAGTGTATACCGTGCGGGGTGTAAGTGTAGTCTATGTGGGTTGCAAGTGTTAGAATGCCTAATAATTTGGCAATATCTATGCATAGACCATGTCAGTTAAAAGGATGGAAGAAACACATGGCAATTGTCATGAATTCAAGATATAAACTCCATATTAAATTGGATACAAATTGAATAAATTTAGCACATTTTTTGGTTATGAACACACCACCACAACTAACATGCACATATGAAATCAAAATTTTACAAAATAGAAAACAATATAATAAAAGTTGAGCTTATACAAGGCTCTCCTAATGAGGCACAAAGACTCTTAACCAATAGGCTAGGGGATTGCTAGAGTGGCAAAAGTAAAGAAACATTTTAACACAAAATTACCCCAAATCTTAGGCATACACAGATTACATAATGATCCAATTCGAACAATGTACATTGTCATAAGCATTTCATCAGACACTTAAAGGGCACAACACAATTACCTAACAAGTTCATATAAAAGAATCAAACAACAATAATTATTTCTCTTCTATGCATTTTAACAAACACTTAGCATGAAAGGATTCAGACTTAGATCAACTTGTGCAGTTTCTTCCAATTGCAAACAATTAAAGATTGAACGGCAGAGATTGCCTGAACTTCTTACCGAAACAATTGTTAACTTTTATTTTACATAATCCCATATCGGGAAAAGAAGGAAAAAGTAAATTGTTTCACTTATATAAAGTGAATCTTATGGTCCCATTTAATATTGCCCTGTTGTGCATTTAAATTTTAAAAGATTTAATTAATTAATTTTTGTATAAGTTAGTTAGTTTTTTAACTTAGCCAATTAGGTTGAACCGTTTTCAATTTGATTGATTCACTAGTTTAACCGTTATTTTAGCAATATTATCAAAATATATTGATTAGATTTGTTTGAGTCGAAATAAACTTCTCACCTAGACAATTATTAGGGAAAAAATGATTGAGTGAGTTGTTTCACTCATATAAATTGAACCTTATACTCCCATTTAATATTGCAGTGTTTTTCATACTTTAGTTCAATACAATTTAGATTTTAAAAGTTTCAATTAATCAATTTTTGTGTGAGTTGGTTGGTTTTCTAACCCGGCTGGATAGCTTGATTCGAAATAAACTTCTTGTTCAAACAATTGTTAACTTTTATTTTACACAATATGATATCGAGAAAAGAAGAAAAAAGTGAGTTGCTTCACTTATATAAAGTTAACCTTATGGTCCCATTTAATATTGTATTGTTGTACATGCTTCAGTTCAAGATAGTTTGAATTTTAAAATAAAATTTAAAAGTTTTAATTAATTATTTTTTGTGTAAATTAGTTGGTTTTTTGACTTAGCCGATTAGGTTAAATTATTTTCGGTTTGACTAATTTGCTAATTTAACCGTGATTTTAGCAGTTTTATCAATATATATTGGTTAAATTTATTTGATTCGAAATAAACTTTTCACCTAAATAATTATTAGCTTTTAATTTACACAATCTCACATCAGGAAAAGAATGATTAAGTTGTTTTACTTATATAAAATGAACCTTATACTCCCATTTAATATTTGTATTTTTGTTCATATTTCAGTTCATTACAATTTAAATTTTAAAATTTTCAATTAATTAATTTTTGTGTGAGTTGGTTTGTTTTCTAACTCGGCCAGATAGCTTGATTTGAAATAAACTTCCCACCCAAACAATTGTTAACTTCTATAAAAATAAATTCCACATTTGGAAAAGAATAAAAAAGTGAGTTGTTTCATTTATACAAAGTGAATCTTATACTCCCATTTAATATTTTACTGTTGTGCATGTTTCAATTTAATATAGTTTAAAATTTCAAAATTTTAATTAATTCTCTTTTGTGTAAATTAGTTTCTCTTTTGATCTGGCCGATTAGGCTGATTTGAGTGATTCAATAGTTTAACGGCAATTTTAATAGTTTTATCAAAATATATTGGTTAGATTTGTTTTATTCGAAATAAACTAAAGATTCATCTAATTAAAGATTGAATTACCAAGATTGCTTGATTGGAAATAAACTTCTCGCCTAAACTATTGTTTACTTTTATTTTATAATCTCACATCAAAAAAAACAAGGAAAAAGTGAATTGCTTCACTTATATAAAGTGAACCTTATATTCCCATTAATATTATTGTAAGGTTTAAATTTTAAAAATAAAATTATATTTAAAAGTTTTAATTAATTAAAGTTTACAAGTTGGTTGGTCTTTTGATCTACCCAATTAGGCCGAACTGTTTTCAGTTTGATTGTTATACTGGTTTAACCGTGATTTCTTATACTGATTTTCTTAATTTTAAATAATTTAAAAAAACCTCCATTGGCTAGTTTCCATTTAATCATATAAAAATAAAACTATAGTTACTTTATGATTTATTTTATAATCCCTGATTAGGAAAAAAAAGAAAAAGTGAGTTGTTTCATTTATATAAAGCGAATTTTATACTCTCATTTAATATTGTAGTGTTGTGCATGTTTTAGTTTAAAATAGTTTAAATTTTAAAATAAAATTTGAAGATTTTAATTAATTAATTTTTGTGTAAGTTGGTTGATCTTTTGACCTAGCCAATTAGGCTGAATCATTTTCGGTTTGACTGGTTCGCTGGTTTAATTGTGTTTTTATCAAAATATGTTAATTAGATTTGTTTGATTCGAAATAAATTAAAGATTGAACGACTGATTGCTTAATTAGAAATAAACTTTCCGCTCAAACAATTGCTAATTTTTATCTTACATAATCTCACGTTGAAAAAAAAAAAAAGGAAAAAATAAGTTGTTTCACTTATATAAAGTAAACCTATATTCACATTTAATATTATAGTATTGTGCATGTTTCAGTTGACAACGGTTTAAATTTTAAAATAAAAAAAATTAAAAAATTTTAATTAATTAATTTTTGTGTAAGTTGGTTAGTCTCTTGACCGATTTTAACGATGTTATCAAAATATATACATTGTTTTATTTTTAAAAGGTATGTTTAAGTTTTATTACAAACTTTAACATAGAATAAACTACAATTAAAAAATCTATTAAACGAAATTTATTTTTTATTTTATCACAAATACTTTTTTTAAATTTATTCTATATTTTTCATCTTTATCAATTAAATTATGACATCTATTTCTTATGAATAATGTTATATAATGGATGATGTGGCATAATTTTAGAAGTTTTAGATATTTGTAATTTATATAATAGGTGGGGTCATAATTTTAAAATGACAATGTTATAATATATGTTGGTACACTAATAGATATACCAATTGATAAGTTTACGTAACACCACCGATTTCTTATTGGGAACTTAGAATAAACATAATAACTGTAATATATTCTAATAAAATGGTTAAAATTTAATTCATTCTAAATTATTTTTCTATACCTTTTAAATAAAATTTATGTTATTATTTAATTTTAAAATTATTTTTAATTATTTATTTACCCTGTGTGTCGCATGGGTTCATATGCTATTTTTTAAGTTTTTCAGTGAAATAAATTCAGTAATTTATAAAATCTATCTTTGATATAAAGGATCTAAAATGTAAAATAAAAATAAATAAATTCAAAACATTTGAAAGAAAAAAAAAACAAAAAAAATAAATCTAAATAAAATAGGTCAACTTTTTATGGTTTTTTATTTTAATTTTTAATTGTTTTTATGAACTTTTAAAATTATTATAATTTTTAATTTCAGATTTGTCTAGTCGTGCAGGACCTAAAAATAAATATTTTTTTTTTCCTAACAGAACAAAAAGACCCAAAAAAATATATATATATTATTAAAAAAATATTTGTCAAACCACTCGAGCCACAGTTTCTAGATTGCAATATGACCACACAGAATTTCATTTTTCAACAACCTACTTTATGATGATGAACAGATTTAGAACCAGTCAGACGTAGAACTTTCAAATAGTGGACAGAAAAATTAAACTTAAAAACTTAAAAAGTATTTTTTTTCTCCTGCTTTTTTTTTTGGGGGGTTGTGTAAATATTAGCAAAAATGTTATGAACTTACCCTTATCAGTTCATAATTTATCCTAAATAGGTTTGTGCGGTGAAAATTAAATTGATGAAATGTGAAGTTTATGAATAAAATAAATTTAAATCATTGATTCTTTTTTCTGGATAAATTCTGAATTAATAACCTTGAGTTTATATTATTGTTAAAATATTATAGCAAAATCAAACTATTTAGGACAAATTTCATTAATGGTCATTGTAGTTTCACTCGAATTTGAATTTGATCCCTATTATTCAGTTGTAACCAATTTGACTATAATTTTTTTTTTTTTTGCCAATTAAAAACAATTGAAAAAGACGGTTTAATTTTTTAATAAAAAATTGTCATGTGCAATGCACATGCCTGGTTTTTAGGAGTAGTTCAACATTACTGTAGTTTAACTTGATTTTCAATTTGATTCCTATCATGCAATTGTAACAAATTTGGTTATGATTGTCTTATTTTTGCTAATTAAAAATAATTGAAAACGACTGTTTAATTTTTCAATAGAAAATGGTTAAGTGCAATGCACAAGCCTAATTTTTAGGGGTATGTCGAACATTAAAATCCTTGCTCATGACAGAGTTCACTCACTTTGAACCAACCATTGAGTGGACTCAACTCACCATCACCGTCTCCATTCTCCTAACCCACCAACAACAGGCCACCTCCATTTGTTGCCCTTCTTGACCACAACCAAAACCACCTTCCTTAGCCCTTTCACGCATCATCAGGAGGGAAAGTGAAGGATTTAGAAGGTTAAACTTAGTTAAAATCATATTTGGATTCTTTTAAAGAGGGAAAGGGAAGGTGCATGGAGGGATTATGAGAGGAAGCGAGTACAAGTATTTTAAGCACTTCACTTCCCCACTAAAATTGAGAGGAAACAGAAGGAAAGTGAAGTGCTTCTCATAATAATATATTAAAAATTCTAATTAAGCATACCTTTCCTTAATTAAGTTGACTTTTCCTCCATTTTCTTCTCATTCCTTTCCTTTCCCTCACAACTAACACTCTTCCCTTCATTTCCTCTTCCTTCATTCCAAACAGAGTGTTAGAGATGGCCTGAACCTAGCAGTACAGAGAAATCTCCCAACATCATTGTTGAAGTGAATGCTAATCTGGTTTAAAACATTTTAGACTCTCCAATTACCACCTTACTTAGACTTTAGCAATATCATCATTGACTGCAGGTACTTGCTGGCGAAGCCAGGATCGAGACGTAACCATTGCTATAGAGAAGCAAATCGATGTGCAGATATTGGCCAATTTTGGCAACACCATGGCCATAGAACTATGTCAGTTTAGCAATCCTCCTCTATATATTAGTGATCAATTGACACTTCATGCCAGAGGCATATCCTATACTAGGCTTATTTCTATTAATTAATGAAGTACTTGTTTAACCAAAAAAAAAAACTCGCCATTTTTTCTATCGGCACACAAGCCCACCATTTATTGGACAGACCTTATCCTATTATCATGATGGTTATGTATTTGAATTACAGTAGTTGTGTCATCATGATTTACATAATTTTTAAGGTCGGTCAAAATATGGTAGTGTCTACACTAACCTCAACCAGTTTTTTAGATAGTCATCACATTAACGGAATCAAATTTCCTGGTGATCAAATTTCCTAGGGATGAATCCAAATTGGTTTTGCATATAGCACTAATATAACATAGGGTGGCTCACTACGTTGGTTCATAAAAAATTAAGCAATCAATTTGATTTATAACTAACATTGTTGTGACCAATAACCAAACACCACTAGATTCATAATAAAAATAAAAAATAAAAATCACCGTGAGTCGTAATCAAACATCACTATGGATTAAACGAAAAGCCACCAATTTCATAACTTATTTTGATTTAACATTTGGGTGGCCCTAGCCTTGCTCCTTAGTCGATTGACTCCATTGATCATATAACTGAGAGGAAAAATGTCACATTAGAGGTGAATGTTCAAAGGTGTCCTCTAATTACGATGATGAGGTCGGTCCCTCTTTTAGTAGACATGATTATGAATATAATTGAAGAGATGTGTGTCGGGGTTGAGATTTTGAACTCTCTTTATGTTGAGAAGTAGTAATGGTGGAGGTTGAGCTCATGGGAGATAGGCCTTGACTTTCATTTATCCATTTTACCACTTCTAAACCAGCAATCTAAACTTAACCATTTCAAGCCACAATATGACATAATCAACTAAAGTCATAACTAATGACCACTAATAGCATAACTAGGTGTATGGTACACGTCTAAAAAGTAGGTGCATATTGTAAAATTCACCTATAATAAGAAGTACCAAATTAACCCTGACATTATTTACTCAACTCATTGCATCTTCAACAACTATTAGAGCCAAGTTATGAGAATATAAGGAAAGCATGGTCAGTCAAAGTTCACAATGATAGTTTTGTTCAGAAGGTAATACCTATTCAGCAAGCACAATTGTTACCGACCATCTATTTCTGAAATTGTGACATTATTTATAGAGCAAGGTCTTGGAATTTCAGGTGCATTGGCCTCGTTTATACCAACAATTGCGGAGAAAGCAGGTTTCTTAAGAGTAGGTATAGTAATCATTTCGTTGCTAAGCATAGACAGAACTTCTGATATAGTTGGTCTATCTGCTGCACTTTCTTGAACACATAGAAGACCAACTTGAATGTATCGGAAAACCTCACTTGTTGAACATGTTTCAACTAATGCATGATCCATTATCTCCAAACCCCTTCCATCTATCCACAAGTCCCATGCCTAAAATGGTTCATTGACAATGTTATAAAAGGTTAGTCTTTGGACATAGACACTAGAAAATATAAACACAATTGGACCAAATTATAGTCACTTACATATCCTAGCAAGTTCAAAGCACGGTCGGGTTGATAGAAACCTGTGTTCTTCTTCCCACTTATGATCTCTAGCATCATGACCCCAAAGCTAAAAACATCAGACTTCACGGAAAATAGACCGTCCAAGGCATACTCTGGAGACATGTAACCACTGTTTCCATCATTTCAACAAATTAGATTGTTATAGAGAGAAAAAGAAGATGAAGAAGTGTTCGACAAGTATATAGAATGATTTTTCATTTTAGCATATTCAGAAGAGTTAGCTGACTTACTATGTCCCAACAATTCTTTTGGTGTTTGCTTGAGATTCATTATCTCCAAAAATTCTAGCTGTGCCAAAGTCAGATATTTTTGGATTCATCTCACTATCTAATAAAATATTGCTAGTTTTCAAATCTCTATGAATGATTCTTAATCTAGAGTACTTATGGAGGTATTGAAGTCCTTGAGCAATTCCTTCAATGATGCAAACACGCATTTTCCAATCCAGTAAAGATTGCCTTGTTACATCTATCCCAAAAATTGAACAAAATACATGGAAAAAAAAAAAAAAAAACGATTCAAAAAAGAATTAGATCACAAGTGCAACAAATTAGTTGAAGGTAGTGAAAAAACAAACCAAAAAGAAGTGAATCTAGGCTGCCGTTTGGTAAGTATTCATATATTAATATCCTCTCGTCTCCTTCAGTGCAACAACCCAAAAGTCTAACAAGGTTACGATGTTGAAGCATTGATATCAATATGACCTCATTCTCGAACTCCTCTAATCCTTGATTGGAGCTTCTAGAAAGTCTTTTCACAGCAATTTCTTGCCCATTAACTAACTTACCCTGAAATTTTTATAATTTGTATGAGATGTGGGATGTAAATAGGGAATGCAAATTATTTATAATATTTCTCTATAGTCACACAAACACACATAGAGAGAATTAAGCAATACCAAATGATTCTTTAATTGCAAATAATCTTAATAATAGTCATAAGGAAACTTCAAATGTAACATGGGGTGAATGCCGAAATTAGGATGAAAAAATTTATCTTAGCCTTAAACATTGCAAGATAAAATGTTAAGCATAAAGATTTCATAGTTATAAAAGGAAATAATATATTGCCTTGTAAACAGGCCCAAAACCACCTTGCCCGATCTTATTTGCATCAGAGAAGTATTCTGTAGCAATTTCTATGCTATGAAGAGTGAACAATGGCAACTCATGATCCTTTTTCACTTTTCGAATTTTGTCAATAATTGTTCTTGTTTTTAATCCTGATATACCTCGCCTTATTTGGTCTTTTCTTCTTCGATTATTTCCTGATATTAAAGAGAAATCAAATTTAGAGAGTAGCATAGTAGTCATATAGTAGTCTAGAATGGTAAAGATAAATACCTCCTCTATGGCGATTTCTCCACCACAAATAGCACAGTAACAAAACTACCAAAAAAGGTACTATACCAACGATGGTGAACCACAATAACCTCTTCTTGGAGTTATGTGGATGCTTCGGAGGCGTGTACATTGGAGGGTAAGAGGGTGCAATATTTGGATCATCTGTGATTAATAAAGGTGATTAAAAAGACAAATAAAGTATTATTGCGTATTCAAATAATTTTTTTTTTTGATTCATGGATTACTGACAATGCACCAAAATGCTACACTTAATTAAAATTTGTAAAAGATTTATTTACAAAATGAAGTGGTACCTTACTTGCATTTGACATGAGTAATATTGTACAAATAAATAATTTTTATTAATTTATTTTTCTAAGAATGTAGCACGTATAATGTAATTATTGTAATGGTTTTGTTATTTCAAGTACCAAAGCTTTATAAATTGCACAACACATTATTTAGTAAAAGAAATTGGGACATTTGGTGAGAACTCCGTAGCCATATTGTTGGGAAAATGGTTTTATAACCATCTTTTTGAGTCATTTTACTTAATATTTACACACTCTTCATCTGTTGCATGAACTATGGTTGATGGTGGTGACTTCATAGTTGGCAGAAAAGAAGGTAGAGAGAGAGAGAGAGAGAGAGAGAGAGTTCTTCCAGAGATAGAGATCTATGTGCTTTGGTTTTGTGTGAAGGAGTCAATGAGAATATAAAGTTAAGGTAAAATTGTCCAATGATACTCAGTGTACCGATCTCATCACGTCCTTATGGAATGAGAAATATGTTTTAAAGAGAATTTATACATTAAAAAATGTCTAATTATTTCTTATAACATAAAAGAGTTATATGAGGGGCTCTTTGTCAAATTTCCCAAAATGTTTGTAAAAATTGTTACTTTGTGTATCATTTTTCAATTGACACATCAATTTGTGTTTTGAAAGCATGCATGTACTTAAACCAAGTTTGAATTATTATTATTATTTTTCATTTTTGGCATAACATTACTCATCTCAAATTGATCTAAAAAATAAATAAAAATAAAAAAGATTACCATTGTTTGCCATGGTGCTCGTTCGAATGTAAAACATATCTTGCAAATTGGTAGACTTGTAACCATCAGAAAACTGACACCCGGAGCCGTCAGACCGAGTAGAAGCATAGGCAGTACAAGAACAATCTCTTCTACAAATATCCTCACAGTCAGTAATACCTAAGCTGTAATTGTCTAATGACCTCCATATACTCATTGATCCACTTGTCTGATTGAACACATCTCCAATCGTGCAGTTGGATGGCTCAGGCGCTACACACCCCTTAGTCCTGTATTTCGCTTGGGTATCATCACAGTAATTTGTTGGACCAAATAAAAAATTTTGGCCCATTTTATATATTTGAATTTCCCCAGATGAGTCTATACTAATCCAAGAACCAGAATCATAATCAGTCCTGTTAAAAGTAAAATAGCTATGGTTCTCATTCGAGAAGTAGCTAAAATTGAATTCATTAGAATTTCTGATACCTGGAAAGAAACTAAAGTTGTACCCATTCCAGATTCCACTACGCCAGTAAATAACCCCTCTTTTCCAAATCACTAGCTGCTTTGTGTTGTTTGGATCCACACCTAAAGTAAAAGCCCCAAGAGTGGCAAGTTGCTCACTCACCCATGAAGTTAGATATTGGTTTCGTTGTTGTCCACTGCTCGACACATTAAACAACCCTAATTTCATGCCGGGTAGCCAGGTATCAGAAGGATAATCAAAACTCTGCCACACAATGCGTGATCCTTCTGTAAGAATCAAGTTGCCAGTATCGAGCAGAGTTGCACTTGTGTTACCACTCGAGGCAAGTTGTGCATCATTTATGGTGATAGAGATCCCATTATAGTCTGTCAGCACCAGGTTCCCATTGTGACTGATGCTTAAATTTCCTCTTAATGGATTGCCACGGTTGGCAACCCAAACAAACTTTCCTTGAACTCTACCTGCAACCGTGCTCAACATCTGCATATATTGAATTCCCAAATAGCGCGAGTATCCCTCTGGGCTAAAGAATAGCAACTTAAAGCGCTTGTCTGAAGACTCCAAGAATTCCCAATCTTGCATTACCTGGCCAACTGTAAGTGTGTCTGTGGCATACAAGACATGGGTAATGCAAAGGAGAGCCAAGAAAGAAAGGATGGCCCAACAACAGTTTGTTCTCCTCATGCTACCAATCCTTCATGAGAATTGCTCATATATATTGAATCTCCAACAAGTGCTTGTTCAGTTGCCTAAAGACCTCACGATGTGTGTATGTTACCATTAATAATATAAATAACAAAGGGTGTGTTTGGTTTCATTTTGGGAGGTAAATTTTTTAAATTTTTTTTGGGAAAAGTGTTTAAGAATTTTTTTGGTTATTTGATTGTATATTTTGGAAATAATTTTGGAGTAAGGGAGTTTGAGATGATTTGATATTTTGTTGTAGTTGAGTAGACATGTGTGAGAGAAAAAGTGATTAAGAAGGAGAGATGAGAGAGAAAAAATGATTGATTCATGTGTAAAAAAAAGAAAGTGAAAAAAATTTCCAGCCAAACAAAATTTTGTAAATTTTTTTTAAAAATTATGTTTTAAGAGTTAAACCAAACAAGGCCCTATTTATCTCTTTAAAAGGTTAAACTTATAAATAAGTAGATGATCAATAACTTAATATGATTTTAAAACAAGAAATAAATCATATATTCAAAATAAATAAAATACTCGTACACACTTGGCCCAGTTGTAGAAGAGAGACATACGTTATATGTTTGTTGAACAGGACTTGGTCAGAAAGGAAACAAATTCAATCCACCAGTCTTCACCAAAGTGCCTAAATAATCAACTATATTATTGGTGTGATTCCGATAATTCCAGTTTCAATTATACAAGTCCAAGTCATCCAAGCCATCTAAGAATTAAAAATACTGTATCAGCGAACCAAGATCATTTTGTTTTCAAAAATATCATTGCTGTATTTTTAGCGATCAAATTGAATATTTATTGATTAATTACTATTCTTTTGATACCAAACTTTATCTCAAAAAATAAATTTTTTTGGCACCAAATTATTTTGCCATTCGTCTATTAGCGATATTTTCAAAATTATTCTTAAAGATTTTTAGCCTGCGTTTGGTTGTGTTTTGTAAATGTGATTTGAGAGTATGAGTTGTATTTTGAGTTTGTGTGTTGTACAATTATGATTTGAGTGTAGAAAATTTGTTTGGTAAAGAGTTTTGAAAATAGTTTTGGAAAAGAGGTTTGATTTGAGTGGGGAATTGTTGATGTGACATTTGATATGTGATACAAAAATTTACAACTCATAACTAAACATACAATTCAAAATTATTTTAAAGCACATAAAAAATTTTCCCCAAAAAAAAAAAAAAAAAAAAAAAAAAAAAAAAAAAAAAAAAAAAAAAAAAAAAAAAAATCTGTACAGCAGAGGACATTCGGGCGGATGTCCCTAGGGACGTCCGGGCGGAAGACCCCATGGACATCCGGGCGGTCTTTCCTGAGGCAAAAAAATCACAAAAAAAGCTGCTGATGCACAGAGCTCTCGGTAGAGATTATGAAAATTGATTCCAAACACTCAACCAAACATCATACTGAAACACACCTGTAGAATTACATTTTCAATTCACAACCAAACAGAGCCTAATTTTTTGCTTTTGGAGATGGCTTTTTAGCAAAGACGAGAATTAGTTCCCAAATTATTGTTAGCAAAATTTTTATTTTTAAAAACAAAAAGTTTAATTTATAAAATTCTTATTTATTGTGATGAACACTTGATAAAATTATCAAACACTTTTACTTTCATGGGTCACCCGTACCCTGCCATTTCTTGATTTGGATGTTCCACCTAGAAAATCACTTTTAGGTTTATCAAATTTTCAAATCAAGCAATTCACTAAAGCTGTCATGCACGTCCATTTATTTACATGATCAACGCCACGTGACACCATATGACGGTCATTTTCGGTATAAACAGAGTGCCTCCAGGCACATATAATTAGGTAGTATTTTGAAAGAAAAATGATTGGGAACTCTAAATTAAGAGCACTAAAGGAGCTCTAGAGAGTGGGTTCCACTGACTGATGTGATGTTTTGGCCTTAAATTCTTTTTTTTTCTTTTTTTTTTGAATTTCCACTTCATTAGTGGTCCATTAGTGCTCCCAAATTAGTGGGATGTATCATTGTTGATTTTGAAATGGAAAAACATATTCGAGCATTTTGTACGCTTCTTTACATTACATATTGTCATTTTTAAAGTCTTGTTTGAGAAGACATTATTTTAATAAAAAAAATCATTACAAAAATAAAAAAATCAAATAGTTTTAATACATACAAAAAAATCAATTATTCTTTTTTATTCACTCTATTTTTTTTTGCACTTTTTTTAAAAAAATTTAAAATATCATTAAATATTATTTATTTTCATATTTTAATTTAAATTTAATCAGAATTTCATATTTTAACTAAAAAAATCAGAAAGTCTAAGTGGGCCCTAAATCTAGAAACCGCGGTTGATTTAAGCAACAGGTTGCTCTCCATTTGAGTTTTCAAATTGGAAGGTACTATTGAATCTTTGTGGATTCACAATAGAATCAGTCTTGATAATTTGAACTCTTCGTTATGTAATTCATCGAGTATTTTATCTTTGTAAAAAATAATTTTGATCGAATATTGATGGATACTTGATTAGATTACATTTGTATTAACAATTTATTTTAAAAATTATATTTACCGTTGACACAAATATAGTCCAATCAAATTGATATTAATATGCGATCAACGTGAATTTTTTCAGAAATAAAAAACACAACGTGCCCTACTTATTAACAATTCGATTAATCAATATGAATTTCATAATGGACCCACAAAAATCCAACCATATCCTCTCATTCGGTTTGGACCAGAGAGAAACCTGCTACTTTATTTAATGGGCGTTGATTGACGGTGGAAATACTTGGTGATCCCATTCAGCTGTAATTATCTGACGTTTAAGGCCACACATATGGTTGAATGGTTTGAAAAGAAAAAATATTAATTTGTTGAAAGATAAATTGAAATTACAATAATTAAAAAATAAGGCATTAAGGATTTTCTACTAATACTTTTTTTTATTTAAATATTCGAGATTTAATTTGTATAATTCAATTAAGACATATGCACAAAGGTATTCTCATGTAGAAGATTAAAAGATTATTTTATATTAAAATAATTACATAAAATTAATTATTTTGACTGATTGATTATGTCATAAAATTTTAGTTATTTAATTTGAAGAAAATATCAAACTTATACCGTGTTTGAAGTCTACAATAGAATAGAGATTATACTTTCAAATAAATAAACCAATCAATCAAAATAATTTAACATTAAAAATTATGATTAAATCATAAAAATATTTATTAACAAACTACTGGGTTCACCCTAACCTTAACAATATCTATTGAAAAAATTACAAAAAAATAAAAATGATAGGGTTTGACTCCGATAAGAAACCAAATCCTAACTTTTTAATTGTTTCAAGTGAAATTTCTAACTTTTAAAATGATATCAATTTTAACTCTTTATTAGTTATAACTTATGACTAATGCAATATGACTAATTTAGATAAATTAATCATTTTTTTTGGGTGGTGTTGTATGCCCGTGCTATGGGCTACGCAACGAATAAGAGGGGTGGCAGTAAAATGGAAAGTGAAAGAACTAACGGTGGACATGGAAAACGGTTGGAGGTGGCTATAAATTGTAATGAAAAAAAAATGGTTAAATTGTCTAAATTATCCATTTTTCGTTAGTTATAACTAAATGATACAAATGGTGGTTAAAATTGATGTTGTTTTAAAAATTTAGAATTAAAATTGAAAAATTAATGTTTAATTTGTTATAGACATCAAACCTTAACGTTATCAAATAATTGTGGTGTTAGTTTCTTGTTATATAGAAAATATGTTGAGATATTATCTTGTATTATTTTCAGCAAATCCTATTCCTATATTTTTGGAGGGGTAAACCACTATGAAGTTATAATATTGGAATTTGGTCTAGTAATTATAACACATGTTATTCATACATTACATTTGGAGTCTTACTACCTATGTCCCAATGGCTAAAAGACGGTGACGACAACTATTCCTCTAGCAAATCAACAAATTTAGCACATGTAAAAAGTAATTCAGTACATGTTGGAGATATTTGGACCGTCTTGTTCATGAGACACTTAGTGTGGGGGTAAAAATCTGACCACACTACCCGCTTAGTAGTCAACTGGAGAGTACTGGCAGAATAGATGGCTTCAGTTAACCTGTAACAGAAAGAAAAGGCTCCGGCGGTGGTTCTTCCACCTGGGAGCACTCTGACGATCAAGTCAATATATCTCTCAAAGATAATCAAGTGCTAAACTTAATGCTCAAAACATAAATTGCGTACCTTAGACCTACGGGGTGCCTCTCTTTTATATTCAACTCAATCCAAGTCCCACTAGAAGCATGATTTCTATGGACTCCAATTCAGTGCTTACTTTGGATTTTTTAAGAGATAAAGATAAACTCCCTAAGAGCTTCATCCTTATCTTGGCTAAGTCTCCTCTTTGTCCTAGGACTCTTGTCCCTTATCCGCTTATCTCGGATTCCGGTATCTTCGGAGGTAACCTCGGCAATTCTGAAATCACCTCGGCGTACCTACCACGACACGTGGCACCTCGGCTGACATGTTGGCGTCACCATGACACGTGTTGGTATTCAGAAAATATATCCCCACACTTAGCAATTCAAGAGCTAACACTATAATATATAAGAGTTTTAGAGATAAAATATTTTGGTCTTTAAAAGTAAAAATTTTATTGAAAAAGATATTTAGAAACCATTTTCCATCGTCATGAGGATAGTCGATAAAAGATCATCTCGAAAAGTTAAAAACAAGGCATTTGGTGACAATTTTGAAAATGTCAATAATAAATAGACTTTTAGGGACAAAATAATTTGGTTTCAAAATGGTTTATTTTTTTAGACAAAAAATTTGGTCCAAAAAAGATAATAATTAATCACTAATGTTCAATTTTTGTTGCTAAAAATATAATAACGACATTTTTCGTAACAAAATTATTTGATTCATAAAAGATAATTTTGTTCTTAAATTTTAATATCTAAAACTTTAATTTTTTATAGTGTAACTTAGCACCCTACTAACCAAAGTGTATGAGAAGGTTAAGGAGATCATTCCTGACATCTAGGAGGCTCTAACAACTATAAAAACTCATTTGCAAAATGAAATAAGGGGCATCCAAACCAATCCAAATTGACACGAC